TTCCCTAAACTTTTTCTCCCAGCTTCATTAGACAGCTTGCTGTGCATCTTTCTGATTTCATTCTATTCTCAAGTGCCTAATCCCATGCATTGTATGGGAGCCACGGATGCCTGTATTGGGGCTCTGAATGCTGAAGGATGACAAGAGTTATATTTTTTCTGTGCATTTAGCCTCAGATTGAATTTGTACCTTCTGTTATAGGATTCTACCTCCCTATTCTGTATTACCCTCCTCTTATCCTATCCAGTTTCACTGATCTGCAGAAATACTGGTAAGCTTCAAAAACTCACCATCGTTTTTTTGTCAGCTTTCTGGATTGTATACCCCAAAATCTGTGCATTGCCATCATCTTGGGGAGGTGTCCACTCCAGAGCAACATTGAATCCCCACACATCTACAATCTTCACATTCTGAGGAGGACCAGGCTTGTCTACAGAGGAGAAAAATTAGACAAACCCAGTTCTTGTTTCAGGCTCCCTGCATTTCTCTTCAGCAAGCAGGAAAAACAGCTTGTTAGTGGGCACATCTACATGAGACAATACAAGCGCAGTAGACTAATTCTACTGCCCATTAGCATGGCAGGCAAAAACTGTCCTAATGGGCAATAGAATTAGTCTACTGCCCATTAGCATCACAAAAAAGTATGTGCTGGTGCTACTGCGCAGTAGTGCTGATCACAGCACATTAAGTTAGTACCTGTTATTACAGGTACTAAACTTAATACACCATAATTATGGTGCATTAATGCATGTGTAGACATGCCCACTGAGTTCTATAATAATCCCACAGCAAAACAACTACATTGTAAAAAGCTTAAAGTGGAAAACTGAAATATGTTTAGCCGTTCTTTACTTGTGTTGTTACCTATAGCTTGAGTGCTTCCATGTATTTTAATCTTTGTACAGATCTACAAATGGATCTATAGAACTGTCTAAAATGGGTGCTTGGAAGAAAAAGCTGATGGTTCTTAAGGGTCATGAAGATGTTAATATGGATGGTGGTCGGCTCGAGTGTCACTGAAATACTCTGATAATTGGTGGGTAGTAGGAGAAAAGAGGCAGGAATCTTATTAGCTGGATTTAATCAAGAAAAAACTATTTTGGAGGGATACCACTGAAGAAACAGATTTCAAAGCCAATGACTTATTGCCTCTTTAATTAGAGGCTGTCATCTGGGAGCCTGATGTGAAAACTGTAATACAAGTTTAGCACAAGTTTTTCCATAGAAATGTGCATATTGTTGATTTTTACTCAATTGGTTAAGAAAGCACTAGAATTGATTCTAACTCTTGGCTTCAGCAGGTATATCTTGAGAAGGAGTAAATATTGAAGTCTCTGTTGGTACCAAAAAGTTGATTTTTGAAAGGTAATTAGAATAAACAACTTGAGCTAAACCTTAGTAAAAATATGACAGTGGTCCAGTCAAATGATAAGGTCTATCTCGGGCATGATGATAGGGTTTTAAACTGGGGCCTTGCTTTTGACTAGAGAAAGATGGAAACCCATTTTTTCTACGAATCGGGGAGGTTTTTTAAAATCTAACAATAATTGAAAGTAGTAATGTTTCCTTCTGAATGTGCGCTTTTCACCTGTATGGTGGAACCTCATGTCACTAAGATTTCTAGGCTGAATTACTGTAATTTCTTCTTTGCTTCTGGTTTTGGAGTGTTGACTGGAGTTAACAACCATAGGTTTGTAGTTCTTCTCTTCTGTTCAGAGCTCAAGAGGATTTGCTGCAGGGTAGGACAGATTTTGGTTGCCTGTCTCCTTATCCCAAAAGGGTAACAACATGAGGCTATGGACATTAATCCCTCAGCAAGTAGACATGTGTCAAGGAAGGTTAGCCGACTCATTGCTAACCCCTGAATGTTGTCTACAGAGGATTGGTGATTGATTTATTGTCTCTATGAAAGCTGGGTTGGCCTCCTGGCCTTCCATTTGACATATACATGCCACTCCATAGCAACTGAAGGACTGCTGTCAGTAAGAAAAAACAGTATGCATGTCTTCCATGATTCTCTACTGCCAAGTACATACTAATCTGGGGAGAGCAGAAGTTGCTGTTGAGAGAAACAAATAGGGCGGTTCTGAATGAGTGGCTGAGCCAAAGATTGTACATATATGCTTTGGCTACAAAACGCTCTGCAGGTGTCCAAGGTCTTTCAAGTTGGAGTAGTAGATTAAATGAGACTGCTCTCAGATTTTGACAAAGCTATCCACTGAAGAACACAGAAATGTTATTCCAGTACTTCAGGCTTGGTACATTTTAATCAGTGTAATGAGATTATTCACTTTTTGTGTCAGACATTAGGTTTCTGTCTCCTCATTCCCAAAGGGTAACAACATGAGGCTAATGACATTAATCCCTCAGCAAGTGGATGTGTCAAGGAAGGTTAGCTGCATAATTGAGTCTTCAGAGGATCGGTGACTGATTTATTGTCCCTATGACAGCTGAGTTGGCCTCCCCAACCTTCCATCTGACATACATGACACACCATAGCAACTGAAGGACTGCCATCAATAAGAAAAACAGTATGTATTGCTCCCATCTTTTCTTCTACCAAGTACATACCAATGTGGAGAGCAGAAGTTGCTGTTGACAGAAACAAATAGGACAGCTCCGAATGAGCCAAGATTGTGCATATATGCTTTGGCTACAGAAAGCTCTGTGGGTGTCCAAGGTCTTTCAGGTTGAGGTGGGACATTAACTGCTGACACTGATTTCATATTGTAACAAAGCTATCCACTGAAGAATATGGAAATGTTATTCCAGTCCTTCAGGCTTGGTATACTTTAATCAGTGTAATGAGATTATTCACTTTTTGTATCAGCAATTAAATTTCTGAGGGCAATGGTTTTCTGATAACTGATGTGGCTGTACATATGACATACTGAACATTGAAAGGAAAATACTTGGTATAGTCCTGTCAGACCAAGGCTCTTGAGGTATAGAACACCTCAATGACTACTTTGCCATCTTTATCATTTATATCTCCAATTTTATAGGACTTTCAACTTATTCATGAAACACTATATTACCAATTCTGAAGTGCCAGGAATTTAGTTAAATAATACAGTTCACTACAAGTATACATTTCTAGAAGAATATTGAAAAAGTGGAAGAAATTGGGGATGGCAAAAAATGTTTGTGACTAGAGGAACTGGTTTAATCTCCCCCTTCCCCTCAAAAAAAAGAGCAAGATGTGGATAGTAATACTGACCAGCATTTCAAATATTTGCAGATTCTTAATGATAAAGATAGATAAAATAGTTATTTAGCATCTAGATCTATGATGAGGAGAAATGGGAAAAATTAGGTTGTGCGTTAAAGAAATCTATCTGACAGAGAGATATATATTAAGCTGTCAAATATATATACTCTCAGGGTAAGTTACTGAAACTAGATCACTTCATCTTTAAAATGATGTTAAAAAATACTGGAAAATGTACAGCAATAGCCAGTGGCGACACGTATGGGGTGCATGGGGGTGCATGTGCACCCCCTGAGAGCGCTGGTGCACCCCCTGTCAGGCCGTGCTCCCCATTTAGGTGACAGGCAGGAGTGCCCATGTCCCCCCTGCGAGTGCCAGCCAGGGAGCAGGGCCTTCCAGAAGTGGCGCAGCTGCTTTTTGGTGAGTGAGATCAGCCGTGGGGGGAGTTCCCCCTTCCCTTCCCCCTGGTCAGTGAGATTGGCTGGGGGGGGGGCGCCCCCCCCCCCCCCCCCCGGTCGCTGACTCAAGAGGCACCAGTTGCCCATCGCAATAGCAGTCCTCCACTAGGCTTCAAGAAATGGGTTAGCTGGTCTAATAGGCCTTTTCCATTTCTCGCTTCTATGGTTGTATTAGATAAGAATTCTCTGAATACATAGACCTGTTTTTAGCTTATATTTGCATTCACTGACCCTGGGAACAATAGGATAATACACACATTCATGCCATGACTTTACATTCACAAAGCTGGGGTAGAGAAGATTCCAGACTAGCACACTAATTTCTAGATTGATATTTCTTCTCTTGGAGGGAGAATGCAGAACCATGCAGAACACCAAGATTCATCGTTTCTCCATTTGTTTTCTGAAGGATCTATGTGTTAGTTCTCTACATTGACTCTAGTGTCACCAGGTTCTCACCTGCAATCTGTATGGTAATAGTAACCTTATCCTCCATGTTTTCTATTTGAACTGCCACTTCATAAGTCCCTGAGTGATGACGCTGTGCCTTTCGGATGAACAGGATTGTGTCTGTAATGCTGTTACGAATTCCCACATCTTTGGACTCTAGTGCTTGACCATCTTTCATCCAAGTAACTCTGGGTCTAGGTTTACCCTGCAGGAAGAAAAAAATATATATTTGAACTATAATAGATTTTCTTTTCCCAGGCCCTTTCTTTTCTAATTTATGAAACTGGAAAAGATTTTTTTTCCAGATGCTTTATTGAGAGATACAGTATGACTGGCTGAATGCTTTCCCAGTTCCTTGACCCTTCCATGCATATATCCTTACCCATCCTTCTCATGCAGTGATGCCACAGCTTAGTGGGACAGTGCACATAGAGCCTCCTTATGTTCACAAAAATAATTTTGTGAATAAACACTCTTGGAAAACAGCCAAGGTTACTCTGTCATTTGAGACTCATTAGGCAGAAGACATTTTTAAAGGGACATTTGGTGGTAAAATCTCCATTTAGGCAGCAAGAGGTGTCTGACAGCCTGTCCACTCAGTTGCCACAGCAGTAACCATACAAAAATAAGTCAGAAGGTAGGCTAGAGATGCGCCTTATAGACTAACTGAATCTGAGAACCTGCCTTCCACTTGACTTCAGACTACATGGCTACCTAACTTTCTCTACTCCATACCAGGATCATTCTGGCTACAATTCTCAGATGCCTATACATGTGCTCTGGGGTGGGTTAATTACAGCAGCTCTCAGGAGCTGCTTTAATTTAAAATGCCCACAGCATCTTGTGTATTCAATGTCCCACATTTCAAAATGCCAGTGGGGGGCTCATTCGATAAGCTTTAGTTAAAGCGCCCTCACCACTGTTTTGAAAAACAGGACACTAAATACATGAGATGCTGCAGCACACCGGAGCATTCTGATTAGATTAATGGAGTCTGTTCCAACACATTTGAATCAGAATTTGTCAGAGCATGTGTACAGGCACCCAAGCTCCTGTCTATTGAAACGATTACAAAAATCACCAAGTCTTATGGCTGAACTAATTATTTGCGGTTTACTCTTAGGGTATGTCTAGACTTGATGTCATTGTGCCTCAGTCAGGACATTCCTCATTGTGCCCTACCCATGTCTGCTCACAGTCTCTGAACCTGGAAATACATTGGTGGAAATACTCTGGAGCCATCTTCAGTGACTGCTCTGAAGCACATTGAAGACAGAATTATCAAGATTGTCTCTATAAGGGATGCCCATGAACATCATTATTGACTTATTTCTGGGTTTGGAGCTGGAGCCAGTGGCTGGGGCACACTTGGGAATATTGGCAAGCATCCTGCTAGCACAGCATAAGCAATCCTTGAAAAACTTAAAGCAGATGCTGGCAACCATTACAAACAGCAGGTCGGCAGTTGCCACCCAGCCACTAGTGCTGGCCCCTGATCTCCCTCTCTTGCGTATGCCTTGTGGTCTTCACTTACCATTGTCATGAAAAGCTGCTGATTCTTATAGCCAGAAACCAGGCAGAGGGGCAAATTCAGCAAAGGTAGTAGTCAGAGGAAAAGAAAAGGGAGGTGAGGTAAGGGGAAAGGTCCCCAGCCACCATGGGCCAGATCCACACTCTGTGGGCTGGATCCAGCTCACAGGCTACATGTTGCCGAACCCTGCTCTACACCAAGTTTTCCTTGTCACTACAGCAAAATTCTCTTCTAGGCAGCTAGAAGTCTCTTTTGCAATAGATCTGACCAAAAATACTAGAAAAAAGCTTTCTGGACCACCAAGAAAAAATCATCTTATTTTAAGAATCAAATCTTTTCTTCATTCTTTGGATCATTAGTTGCTGCACCAAGAAGCAACCAGGATTTTTAAGTGTGCTAGAGACTTTTGCTTCTCAGCATTTTGAGGGCTTGCTTTCTGTCTGTTCTCAGCTGAACCTAATTTGGGGTAGGACTGACCCAGAACATAAAAGCCTAAACAGACAATGTCCAGTATAAGTTGTTAACAGGAAAGTTTTTACAGGAAGTTGGGTGTGGAGTTTGTGTGGTGGTGGGGCAGGTGGGGTTGTTTTGGTAAGGTGTAGTTTCTTGGTTTTGGTTATGGAATTTTCTCCTTTTTGATTTTTGTTTTTCTTCAAGATTTTTTGGGATGGGATATGAAAGCTGCAACTTGTATATTATTCTTGAGTGAGTTGCTGGTTCCAGCTATATTTGCATAAAATCTCACACAACAGTACTCATGGAGAATAAAGTCAGGGGACTGAAAATGCAGCTGAGGCAAAGATGGAAATCCAAGAGGATTTCTAGAAGGCTGTGAAGAAAGGAAAGGAGAGAGTGCATATGGAAATGAGCTTCTGACACCTGCTGAAAAAGATGATCTGCTGGGCAGACCTTCAGAAGACAAAAAGAACATTCTGGTTTATATTGCTGAGCACTCATTCTCAAGAGTTCTCACCCCTTTCACAATGGGAGACATGGAAACAGAAGCACGGGCTGTCTGCTGGGAGAAAAGATATGGAGACAAACCTGAGGTTGAGATGGTTTCTGATGGGGGCAGACAAGAATCTACTAATTGTTCTTTTTGTAGGAACAAACAATACAATCAGATACTCACTGGGCATGTCTACATGAGATGCGCAGTAGCCTAAAAAAACTGCACAGTAGTGCATCACAGCATGGACAGTGCTAATATACTACCCTGCAATATTATCAGGCTACTGTGCAGTAGCATCACCAAAATGGCGTTCACTGGTGCTACTGCTCAGTAACTCTAATTACTGCGCATTTAGTTAGTACTTACTAAATTAAATGTGCAGTAACTACTGTACATTAATGAATATGTAGATGCACCCACTAACAAGACTAAAGGACAATTATGTTAGTCTGGGGAAAACATTTAAGGAGGTTGAAGTTTTAATGATCTTCACTGGGATTCTTCTTGTTCCAAGAAAACCAGATAATGAAGATTACCAGATGGCTGAAAGATTGGTGCTATAGGAAAGATTTTAGGATATTCAATCAGTGACTGGACAGAAATTTCTCCAGGAATGGTCTCTACTTAAGTAAGGAAATAGCCTGCTGGGATCAAGTTTGGCACTGTTGATTAGAAGAACTTTCAGCTACCAACTCAGTGGAATATGGGAGAAAGCCACACATCCCCATGCTGGGAAAAATATACAGCAAGAAGCAAATTGAGTATATTAGGTAGATTATAGTCAGTAGAGACAAATGAGTTACTAATATACCCTGCAAGGCATTGACAAAACCTCATTTAGAACACTGCATACAATTATGATTGCCAGTGTTCAAAAAAGACAAATTTAAACTAGAAAAGGTACAGAGAAGGGCCACTGACATAATTAAGGGAATGGAGAATGTATCTTATTAAAGGAGCTTAAAAGTACTTGTTTAGCTTAGCAAAATGAAGGGTGAGAAGGGATGTGATTACTTTTTATAAAGACATGAGATGTTTGGGTTTTTGGGGGTTTTTTTGTAATGCAGTGGGTATTGGTAATTCCATACTTTAGGGCTTCTGCTGGTCATCTGTACAAGTCAGAAATGATTGTTTCCCCTCATGAGTACTTTATTGGCTTTTTAGTAGTAATGGTAGCAATGGTTGGGTAGAGGAATGCCAACAGTAAGCAAGGGAGACTGTTGTAGTGATGAGTTCTCCAAGGTAAAAAAGAGGCAGTCTGTTAAAAAGTAAATAGCTGGGAATTAGGAAAACAAAGGGTAGAGGAAGAGAGGAGGGAAGGAAGGGGGGAAAATGTAAAAGGTAAGTTCAGGCAGGTACCTGGTGAATCAGATGTCAAGCAGGTTGTACTGTCATAAATTCAATGTCTATATTGAGTCTGTGACTTTTTGTATCCAGTAGATTTATGAAGTGAAGTTCGTAGGCTTGTCTATGAAAGGTGTTTTGTAAGTACGCTCCTAAATTCCAAAGGTGTTTTGTAAGTAGAGTCTTACATTCCAAACTAGCCAAGGTTGTTTTGAAATTATTTGCAGCCCTCAGATACATTTGTAAGCAACAGATATGGCATGCTGAAGGCTTTAAGGTCATGTGGCCTAATTTCCTTGAACTCTAGCTGGAGAGGTCATACATCTCTGCTCCCCAGAAAGTAACTAAGAACAGTGTTCTACAATGTCAAAAATAACATGGACATCCAAATATCTGTTTCAACAAAACTGCTCACACGACAGACACAAGAAACATCTCTACAAACGAACATTCTGGAGCCCAGAATAAGTCTTTCCTTAAATGAACAGCAAAATTTAGCAAATGTCCACATACATTAATATTGCTGTATATTTTCATGAACTGGTAAAGAGGAGACATGGAAGGTTTCTGTCCTCAATGTCTATTCCATAATGGTGTATGATTCGCATTGATTTATTTGCCATCAGCTGGAATCAGAAATACAAACTCTCTTATTTCAAAGGATACAAAAGACCAAGGTCTTTCACAGATGCCTTCCTCCTTGGCTGCCACAGAATTTTCTGTATGCAATTTCCCTGAAACTGTCTATAGCTAGCATGATCTGCAAGAATCAGATGGGGCAAAACTATAATGATTATTAATCGTTTTTGGTTGAGTAAGACCATTCTGGTTTCTAGATCTTCTGGACCTGCCATAAGATTGCTACCAAATGCTATACTTCTACTCTCTTCACTTCTATATAAAATGTTTTAATCTGTCATCTTGGATGCTGAGTTGCTGAACATAGGCATATCAGACAGAAGCTGTTCTGAGGCTGACCACAAGATACAAGCACAAAGCAGGAAGTCACTAGCCAATTCTGTTTACACAGGTTTCTGGACATATTGGAAAGAAAAAGGATCTTCATCAGGACTGGCAAAACAGTTAATACGCCATCTCAGCCATTTAGGAGGAACCAGATGAACTACTCAAACTCCATTTTTCTTTTTCTTTATCTGGTATTAATTAGGTCATAATGGTACGTCACTCTTTCTGTACCTCTTCCATATTTTATATGATGTCACTATTTGTGTCTTTAATAGCAATCATCTATTTAAAGATAATAAAAATATTTAAGGAAAAAAGTTACATTTTGACCTCATTTTTCATGTGCCCTTTACCAAAATATTTATAGTCAGCTCCTTCTCTGGTTTTCCAGCAAAATGGAATAGTTCAAAGG